GGTACGTTATTCACCGAGCAACACCCAATTACTCATACCGCTCGACTTCCACTACTACAACTCCTATCGGAGCCAGACGATCCGGTGCCCGATACCAAATTAATACCGAAATCAACAACCTCGCCCGACGACATGCTTAGCCACACGAAACGCATCCAAAAAGTCCCTCTACACCGGAACTGAATTAATGATAGCAACCTTTGCACTGACATCCATCACGAATGCCCAATTAAGAAAGCAATCCTTCCCAACCGTCCGCTGGTTCTTTGAAATATAAACCACTCTGCTAGAACATAATCCAACGCACTTCATCACTCAACTCGTGGCATTTTCGGTATTGCCCGTAGCGCAATAGTTCAAAATCACTCAACACTAAGATAGCCAGTCTGAATTTCGACATCACATCATAAATCTAACATACCAGCAAACAAAGATCCACTCGAGCCTCCAAATCCCAACTACCGCTAAACGGTGCCGAATACACACGATCCACCACCACAATCTAGCCTGTACATGAGAACTCCCAGTCTCCAACTCCATATGGCACACAAATCATCATACCTGATTCCAGTTTCCACCGTGCGAATACGTGCACACCTTTAATACCTAATCATCCCACGATAAATACTCTAAAATTTCCATGTGCCATACAAGAAACTCGAATATCAGCAGTCGATCCAGCCTTAAAGTGCCGCAATACTATTGAAGTGCCATCAACTTAATCACATTGGCCTTTTTCTGAAACATATACCCTCTACAAATCACTATGATTAGAAATACAATTTCCTTAATCATCTGAAGCTCATTTCCCTAATCACCTAAAGCTGCCCATACTGCCTAAGAATGTTATGAATTTCCATTCAGAACTGAACCATAACCTTACACACGCAAATCTCAATCCTTCAACACATATCGCATATACCATATCATCCTAAGGTAACATGAGGACTTCACCTCCCTTCTGAACTATGAACGTTTACGTACTCACTAGTCAAGAACTTCCATTGATCCCATCTAGAAAAAAAATCATTACACATCCCATGCTCTGTATGACATACATAGGTCTTGTTCAAATTCTTACAATACCGACACGACAGATGAGATCTGTATAAATTCATAACACCGCAGAATCAACAATTCATTGGGTCTATACTTCTGGCAAGAACTATCACCTCATTATGAACCAAACAATGGTCTTAGCCCCTTAATTTACTTCATATGCTCAAATTGCACTGATCTCGAATTCAATGATCTCGTCTCACCCATTACGAATTGCTCAGGCAATAAGCCACCTCAGACATAATCAAAAGCCGCATATGATGCCCTAATATGCCAATAGGCTACCAATTCGAACGCGATACAAAAAAGAAAATGAACTCTGTTTGGTTTAGAAGAGGAGGATCAATCGCCAAATCCAATAAGGAGCTCAGTCTAGCACTTCATAGATGTGTCATGAGTTTACTATTAATGCATAGAATAGTAATTAACAGAGGCAACTCCAGTTAATGATTCATCATACTTATTCTCATCAAATCGGAATACAATGTAATCGTTGTACTTATAGCTTTCTTGAATAAATTCATGTGATATTTGTGGTAATTAGAGTAGTATTATGCAACATAGTCTAAACAATAACTAATCAACTTGTTTGTTAGAAAAGCAAAGAGTTAAATTAACCTTTAAGTTGTCACAATATATAACCGCCAAATTGAATATTAAAAAAGTCCTATTCTACTTCTAAGAAACTCATATTGGTAAATAAAGTTTCTGAAATGTATTTCTCTAAGTGTTTATCTCTAACGGTCAAATATATTTCATAGAGGATAAATTATGACTGAGAAACAGTGATGGAAAAAAGTTCAGCCTCTAAGAAGAACTATTCCATGAATATGCACATAGAAATTAAAAAATATACGAAGAGCAGAGCAAAAAATCCAGATTTACAAATTAAAAAGCAGAAAGCAAAATGTGATATATGTTGTAGTATATCACTGAGAAACATATTTGAGGATACGTATGTTACCGGGTTTTTGGTACTGATTAGCCCATGAATAAGCGCATAGAAATTAAAAAATATACAAAGAGCAGAGCAAAAAAAATCAAATTTGCAAATTAAAAACAGAGAAGCAAAACACTGGCGGGCCCACTTGTACGTAATAGAATAGAAATCAAGGTAAATTCCCCTGATGGGAGTGAACATAGGGATTCCCCGACGAACGAATGCAATACATGGAAGGCTGGAAACGCCTTACAATCTGAAGTTTTACGCTTATACATGTTATAGTATATCACTGAGAAACATAATTAAGGATACATATGTGTGGTGCTCAAATGCTTCAATCGGGTTTTTTGCTACTGATTATCCCATGAATACACACATATGCAAATTAAAAAGCAGAGTTAGCAAAACGAATTATAAGACAATAACAAATTTTTAATACCTTTTCATCTTGTAGAACCAATTCAATCGAGAGAGTAACTTCTAAATTGTAACGATCTGTACTTCCCACATACAAACAACTTTTAACTTCCATTGCATTTTCGAAATTGTTATATCCTTGATTAAATCACGATAAGTAACCATATTTTGTAGAAACCGTATGTTTTCTTGAATTTTTGATAGTAGAAAGATTTGAATTAATTAGGAACCGACTCGGAGAAATAAGTTGTCGTCAGTTTGGAGAAATAGAAGTTGGCCGTCAGTTTCGTGAGTATCAATCGTGCCTATGTTTCATGAGTTTCAATTTAGCCGATACATTGATAATTATACACTAAATGGACGTGTATTAATGATATTTGTGAGAAATGTTTGTGATTGCTTATCTTTAATTTGATAATTAAAGTGAGTTAATGTTTATTAGTGGTATCATTAAGTAATATTAGTGGTATCCTGAAGTAATGCTAATGATTCATTAGCCTATACATTGATAATTATACTAATTAAGTATGTATTAGTATAATCTTAAAAACTATTACTGATTCATTAGCTTATGCAATAAGAATTACACTAAGTAGGAGTGTATTAGTAATATCAGTAAGAAATATTAGCGATTGATTAGCTTATAAATTGATAATTACATAAAGCAGATGCATATTAGTGGTATGCTTAACTAATATTAATGATTGATTAGCCTATCTATTAGTGGTATGTTTAAGTAATATTATTTGTGTGTGTGTGTGTAAATAATAAATAGCTTTTAAATAAACAATATAAATACTTATTTGACATATATATACATCTTAATATAGCTAATGTTATATCGATTATAATAAGATGTGTATATAGTATAGTGTAGTATATATACGTGTATAGTATATAAGCTATATAAGATATACATATAGTGATTATTAGTAAGTAGAATAATTAATGAGAAATTTTCAGAAACCACTAAGTTTTAGCTTATATATACTTAATGAGGTAAGTTGTTTACCGACGCAGTAGTACCGACAGACTTTTTTCTGTCGCTTATAGTAATTAGTAAGTGTATTAGTAGTATCCTAAGTAATGTAAGGTTTGATTAGACCGTAAATTGATAATTACATTACATAGAAGTGTATTAGTGACAATTAACTTATATAAATTGATAATTACACTAAGCATTAGTGGATTTGCGTTACAATTTTTTGTACTTTTTTCTATCCCAATATAGTTTAACTTTTTTTTCCTTCCAAAAGAATTGACGACAGAAGATGAATAAGAGAATTACTACTATTTTATTGGCCGCTGATTCTTTTTTACTTTGATTTCTCATTGTTTTTTTTCCTCCCAAATGAATAAGAAAATCAGCTTAGATGGATCAGGAAGGACAAGTATTCATCATGTAACGTTGGTAAAGGATAATTAATATGTTAGGTTGATCTTTAGGTGGCTTTTAGAAACTACTAGTATTTGTACCAGTGCATTGCGCGGAGAATAATAAATATAATCTTTCATAAGAAAATATAACTTAGAAAAGACGGTAGATACAAAAAGCATGCAAATGCTATTATTTTTTGGAACATGTTAATGTAACAGATATTCGTATAATAAAGTAGCAAGAAAACACTATAAAAAACATACAGTTATTTCCTGAAGTCATGTATACCAGGTAGATTGCGAAACAAAGGTTTCTAATGCCTTGAAAATTCAGAAATACGACAAAGTCATAGTATTTCAAGATAAAAAAATCAGACTTCATAACATATAGTTAGGGGAAAACAATTACTCCTACTTGCACAACCTTGAAATCCATAATGTACCCACTCTATTAGAACAACTTTACTAAGGTGTTTGGGGACATGACAATGTACACACTCATAAATACTGTAGTATGAGTTTTTGCTTGATATTACATGCAGAGACGCTCATATCCAGGCTGCATGTCAAAACACAGGAAATAAGAAAGAATTAAATATAAGAAATTGACGGATTCTTAAGATGTAGAGGATGTTGCCTTAAAACATCTTCTTTCACCTTTCAATCAAGTTGCAAAATACATAATCTTGTTCCAAATAGAACTTATTGAAGCATGACTTATTTCATTGTATTCTTATTATGCTCTTTATTCATGTAGTATTTTTGTCCTTCCTTTGTGTCAAGAATTATAGGTTGTTCGCTTAATAGTTAGTACATAACTTAATCAAACATAGTTTTCTAGTATAAAATTCTTCAAACTTACTGGAAAGTTAGTTTTTCAAATTGCAGATTCTCAAACTTCGATAGTATATTCTCATGGAAGTGGGAGAATGAAAGCCTTGACAGAATGATATATTTTAAGTTAAGACGCGCAAAATTGTAAAAACATAAGGACAGAAATTCAAAAATGTGTTTAAAAGAATATCTTGATGAAGATGTATATCACAAATTATATAAATTTATGAGAAGTAACAATGAAATATTGATTTGTGCATGTTATTTATTACATAATAAAACCATTAATACGATAGTAAAAGAATTTCTTACCAGGAACAATTGAATTCTTTTTTATATCCAAAGGAAACTTGAGTTGTTGTTGTCCTAGGAGGTAGTCCTTCAGAAAATGATAATATAAAATAGGATGTATTAGTACTGAACTTAAATTTAAAGAAGGGATAGTTTTTCGTAATATAGACTTTTATTATTAAATACCTGAACAGGCAGAGATGTCAACATGTATGCCGCAAAGAAGTGGCAACTAAAGTGCTAATGTGGTGTTGATAGGAGGAGAGAAGAGGTTAGTTTGATCGAGCAATAGGCAAAGACAACTTGATTTCTGGCTCTAGCCTTGCCTTAGGTACTGCTCTATCGGCAAGGGCGATGCGACTTGCAAGAATGGTCTACGGGGAGCAAATTGTAATAGGAGCACGTTAACATGTTGGGGCCTAAAGTTGAGCTTTCCAAACTCTATGAAAGGGTGGTAGGCAGAAGAACAAAAGGAAAGAAAAATTAAGAATGGTTGTAGATGTAGGATTAGCAGCCAGGGAATGAAAAGCCATATTGTTGTGATTTTCTTTACTGATTTAATACATGGTTAACTTAGTTATTTACTACTAAGATGAATCATGAAGATGCTTACTTTATGGACTTTTATAATTAGAAGGTAAAATTTAGTGTGAGGTGCAACATGCATAGAGTATGTAAATTACCAAATAGCACTTCTTTTCTTTCTAGCATCAGCTGCCATATCCCTTAGACAAAAACTACATATGATTCAGCTCTGACTGCCAAGATTATGAATTTATTTTTCATGTATTGATAACCAATGACCAAAAGGGATTTATATTGTATGGAAGAAGGGAAAGCATTAATAAAAAAAACCAACAACTAACAGTTTGGAGTAATTGCTAAAATATAACATACGCGACATTTTGAACTTCTTACCGACAAAATAATGTGAACTGAAATCCATGTTCATAAAGTTTGAAAATTGTATGACAATGTAAGGGTGAGAGCCATTGTATAGATAAGGTTCAAACTTTTCTTCAAATTCTTCCCACAAAGTTATTTTTGATTTTGCAGAACTGTCTGGGGAAAAAGAAGAAACATAATCTAGTTGAGTTAAAATCCATATGATTCATCCAAAATATAATATAAAGATATGTGCTTAAACAACTTGAAAACAGAATTAAGGTAAGAATTAATCAACTTTTTTTAGGAAGAGAACAAACAAAAGTACATGTCCCATTTTTCCACTTATTTCCAAAACTCTCCATGTCACCAATGGCACATAGAAAACCAACGACATCTATAATATGAACTGAAAAAAGGAGTTATTTCATAATTACATTGGAAATAAACAAAAATGTAGCAGCAAAGATTGATAGTAATATATGAAACTGATAACATGGTATTATTGTTCAACCGTGAACTAATCATGTCTGTATAGGAATATTAATAATTTCTTCGTATAGTTTCTGGAGCAAATTTGTGAGTAAGAAAGTAATTTTAAAAGTACTTGTCAGTGGTCTATATTCACCAGAAGTCTCAATAACTTTGAAATTCTGACTAACATAGGTTGAACCTTTACTCAACAAATTCTTGAATCTATTTACTTGATTCTTTCTGATTGTAGCATGTATCAGGTTATGCTGGTACAGAAAAAACAGTAAGTGTATGGACATTTAAAAATTACAAAATGCATATACAAAATATAAAGATACATGTATTACCTTTTCAATAAAGGATATTCCAATATTTGTTTATAAATACATATTTAGAGATATTGTTGTTCAATGTGTGGCCTATAGTTTTTGCCCTTTTTACCGTATTGGCTACAGTAGGGACAAAACTTGAACTTAAACTTTATAACTGCACATATTTTGAAGAAAACATATTATACTTTAAAAATAGAGATTGAGACTCATTACCTGAATCCTGTAAGGCTGCATCCGCAGTTGAGGCAAGGATTAAAGGAATCTTAAATATGCAGATGAACAGTTAAGGCAAGAGATGACAATTTTTTATTTGAGATACACATAAAGAAGAATATATTTGAACCTCCCGAGAAAGCAGTAGTGTATCGGCAACTTGCACACAACCCCTATCAATGCAGTAAAGAGAACAATTAACAGAAAGCTAAGTTTGATAAGACAACCTGCTAAAATAAGCACATGAAAAATAATTACCAATTGGCTTAACAAATTCTACAAAGCTGAACTTTGAAAGATAAAGCCTACTCAATATAATAGAGATATTTTTGTAAAGGTAAAAAGTAGTAACCTCGACTTTTCTTTCAAAAGCGTCACTTCCGCAATAAGGTGTTGTGAAAGTATAGTCATCCTCGAGTACCACCTATTGCAAAGGTTTATTGCAGAAACCAAAACGCAAAACAAAAATATGCAAAAAGGAGTTAGAAAAAGAAAGAAAGAAAGAGTAAGCAAGTAAATATGAAAGCACTAACCTTTCCCATAGAAAATGTAGTGAAATATCGGAAGAAAGTGCTACAAGCAGCTCCAAATAACATAGATGAACATATATTTGACATTCCTGAACATGAATTACTATGAGTTTACCCAACTTGATAAAAGAAAGAGTAACCAACACTTGATACTCACCGAAAGAAACATAACAGAAGTTAAAATTTTCATTTAACGAGTAATACTCTAATGCAAGTATAATTTGGACGAATTTAATTTATGAGCACTTCAAAAGAAGATTTTTTTTCTCCACTATTTCTATCACAATTTCAAGACAATGGCGTAAATTCTAAATGATTCACAAAATATGGTAGGAATAAAAATAACAGAGAGGAAATGAGACTAAAATTAAAATAAAAGGCTTGAATAAAAGAAAACATGGTAGGAATCGTGGTTTTGACCTCAAGGGATTGCCATCTTATCATGTTATGAGCAAGCGGAGCGAGCCATTCTAGAGTCCCCAGCATTGCTTCATTCCATTCTCCAGCAAGAACCGCATCATAAACTGATGACGTCAAGCTCTTGGCAAATGGCTTTAGTTTCGACCTGAGGGCTCCTCTTAAACTAGCCGGCATGCAGCATGTTGTACAGGTCCTCTCTTGCATCATGTACAATCAAGTGAGGAGATGCCACTAGTTTCGCAATCACGATAATGACATTTGCATAATGCAGTGCTAAGGCAGCAGCTCCAAGAGTTTCTGGAGGAGCGTTTAACAACCTTTTTTTCGCATTATAACTTGTCAGATAAGAGCAAGTTGAATAGCTATCGGCATGTCCATTTACATTAGCTCCTTTCGTTGCACTGAGAAAACCAGAATGAAATCCTTGTGGATCTAGATAGCAATTACCTACAGGAGAACCGTTCCCGATCATCATGCAGCCTTTTAGCGGAGCTGTAGAGGTCGGTCGAGAATGCTTTTGATTTGGACCTTTTCCGGGTAAATTTCCTGAACGATCACGAGATTTCCACCACCTCATGCCGGATTTATTGAATAGAGGGAGCGGCCCAGATTTTGTTGTTGACCTTCCCAGAGGACCCGAATAGAAGCCAACAGAAGAATGTCTTCCAGGGACCGGGCTTCCTGTTGCAGTTGAACTTTTCAAGGGACCTGAATAAGAATTGTTAACGTTTCTTGTGCTTGAGATTGGGCCAGATTTGGAAAGGATACTTTCTACTGGTTCTGACGAAAATCTAGTCAAGCCTGTTTCAGACGGGTGAGCAGTTGATTGGGCATAAGCAACTGAGTGGCTACGATGGATTTGATCAGAATCTAGTCTTTTCTAATAACCTTGAAATTCCGAGGGCCAATGAACACGGTACAAAATAGGATGAATAATAAATTTAAATATTAGGAGTTGTGCTCTTAGCACCAGACCAGATTAAACTACTGCATAGTTTGCTATATCACTCTTTCTTTATATTGATTTTATGTATGAGTTTTAAGTTAAGGCAGTATTTGATTGAGTAGCAAAATAGTGAAAATTTTGAAAATGAAATTACAAAATAGTAAATAATTCTTTTAATATTATATCAGTGTTTGAAATATTAATATCATTTATGAGAAAACGAGCAATCTTCTAATGTATTCTAAAACAAGATGTGTATCAAATGGATAACTTCTCCATTAAGGAGCATATACTGTAAGATCAAGGGAGATTGTCCAAAGGTTAGAATGGAGTAGACTAATTTGCAACAATCACGATGCTCCTAGATGAACTTTTATTTTATACCTGGCTATCTATAAAAGGCTGCTTACAAAGGATAGAGTGGCACAGTAAATTTCTGTTGATAGCCTGGTGTGTCATCTATACAATGATAGGAATGAATCTGTAGATCATGTCTTCTTCAACTGTCAGTATTCTGCTGCTATTTGGGATAAGTTGTTGCAGTGGCAAGGTATTACTAGAGTCTCTGAGGAGTGGAAAGATGAAGTTGATTGGGCTCTGAAAAATAGAAAAGATAGATCGACTAGGGCAATTATATACCGAATGACTTTGACATGTGGTGTGTATTGTATTTGGCATGAACAAAACTTGAGACTATTTAGCAAAGGAGCAGGCCTGCAAGTGCACTGAAAAGACAAGTTATTCAAGAAGTTCACTACAGGAGTACTAGGATGCCATAGTTGCATAGAAAACTAGAAGAACTTAGTTTTTATTCCTAAGGAGGGTGAGTAGTTCAGGAGCTAGTAGTGGATAGATTATACCTGTTAATCGGGCCGGGCTGACCCGTTTTCAACCCGCTTCATCCTGGGTCAGCCCAGTACTGTAGCATATAGGGCGGGCTGGGACGGGTTGATAAGGGGACCTAGTTTTGGACGAACACGTTCAGCTTAACGGTGCCCCGAACCCGCTTAACCCGACATCCCTTAACGGGTTGTATGTTTAACCAAAAAGTGGAATTTTGGTCAAAGCTTTATTTTAGAAGAACTCGGGTTACTGATAATCAAAAAATAAATAAAGGAAATTAATTTTGCTAACAATAAGATGAACAGAAGAAAACAAAGTAAATTAGTATATTTTAATGATATTTCGTGTGTTTACAAATGATCGGTATTCTCCTTTTTATAGTTATTTCTTAGGTATACATTTTGCCTTTGTCATAATAATAATTAAAGGCATTTAATGCTACGTTACAATGGCAATCATTGTAATTCAACACAGATTCTCTATAGTATGTAATGCTTATTAAATATTATATCTGTACTCTCTTGTGTTGTCAGATTCATTCTCCTTAATTTTTGGATTTAAATAGGTACGAATGGTCGAGTCTTTTGAATATCTGCTCGTGCCTCTGCTTGTGCCTCTGCTCGTATCTATTGCGACTCGTGCCTCTTTGCTAATCATCATTCTTTGACCAGCCTTCGTGTCATGACACGTCATCACTTCAATATATATAAACTTAATTTTCCCCAATACAGATAGTCCTGCCACTTGCCATTTATTCATCAATTGAATATTTGGGAAGTGAATTTTATTAAAGCGGGAATATTTGCCGCCATTAATGCTATTATGGAATCGACGCTTCAATTGTCACTTCCATTTAATGCTTATTACACATGACATCTTTTTATTGGTTCTGTGACTTTGCAGCGCTTTTAAGGCTCTTTTATAGCTTCACCAATTACGAAGCGATAGTTCTCATTATGACCTTTCCATCATTGCACCTTTTCCTTTGATGGTTGCTTCTTAGTATAAATATAGTTTTCGGCTTTGTCTTTCTCACATAAAGTTCTCTGAATATTCAATTCTTAAATTCTTGTTTCCTTCTTCCTCGTACTATCATGTCTTCATCAAACCTTAACCCTAGAAGATTCCCCATAGTCGATAACTTTCCTCTTGCCCCTAGTAGGAGCAGAAGAGGAGGTAGACTACATAATTTAGGGTCTTCATCTATACGTGGTTCTTCTCTTCCTTCATCTAGATCTGGTCCTTCTTCTAGAACCAGAGGTTCTCTTTCTCAAAGGTCTTCTTCTAGAGGTAAGGAACCCTCTGAACCTCTTCATGAACCTTTAGTAGAGGAAATAGTTCTTGCAGAACTATCTTTCTACAATGATAGAGAGTCCATTAGAAACCAAGTGTCCTCTTTGGATCGTGCTGATATCTACCCAACTCAGATCACTGAAAGTTTGATTTCTTT